ATGCAAGCACAAAACCTATTTATATGACGTAATCTGGATCCCTTTTCCCATTAACACCTTTCATCGAATTTTGATTGAAGCAAATTTTCATTGGTTGCTTTTATTAGCACATAATCGAAATCATATCATAAAAAAGGAATCGATATGTTTGACAGCTTTTCAAAGGCATACAATCTGAATATGAAGAGAAGCAATAAGTTAAGGCGAAGTCGTAAGCATCAGAAGAAAGGTGTTTAAGATGTGATTGCCACTCAGACCGGGGTCTGACAGTAAACGTGGCAATAACCCGGGACCCGTTTGATGTGTGTTTCATTACTCGCCGGCGATATTACCTCTTGTATGATTATTAAATATGGTATATTGGCGACGGGTCCCGAAGGTTATGCCGGGAACTTCAACTTTGATGTAATATAAATAGATCGTAAAGTTTATTGTCTCACTACAGTAAGCGATAGGGTTTTGAAATTTCTGCGGTTTTCTTGAATTCTTGGGAGTTCTTATGAGACTATTACTGTTTAATATTGTACATTGTAATTTAAACTTTATTACTTGCTTCTCTACTTGACATACTTCTATTTCCCAATTTATTCATCATAATTATCAGCCTATATAGTATTTCTTTTACAGCTTAGAAAAGGCCTATTCTCACACGGAGAAGGAATGAACATTAATCACCAAGCTTGCTCAAAACAGGGTGGCGAATTTAAACTTATAATTTGAAATGATAAATCCAGGCTTTTCAATGATGTTTTCCTTCATCCAATTAATTTGTCATGTGCTTATTATCTTCCCAAATCTAATGATTGCTTTTTCATTTGTTCCAGGTACATAACGTTTCCGGCATCGTGCACTATATACACAGCAATATCTAAAGTGCATGTTAATATTTAAAATATGTAATGTAACAGATTATTCCTCTGGAGAGAACTGAACGTCCCTTGTTTACTTTTACGGAATTGAATGTGGAATGAGTTGCATAATTTTGTGCGCATTTAACATTTGGCTTGAGGAACATTTGCTAGTCTGTGGTTTCTGAAGGGCATACCCTGGATGTCTTCAAGCCGTGAGTGAAAAGGTTGCTTATCGGCAGACGTGCTCCATCGTAACCCGCATAATTGCTCACCATCGGGCGGTATAGTGACCAAACGTAGGCCCAAACTCAAACTCAAACTCAAAAGCATTTATTTCAATCAAACCATAATCTGGTACTTTTAAAACGTCAACAAATATGAGATATATAATCGTCTGTCAGTCTGTCCGTCAGTGAAGCTAGGCGCTCGTTCCAAAATGCCCATCAAATATATAAAAAGAGGAAATTAAGTGATGTCGGCAAATAAAATGTTCTTAAATGTGGGACTTATTCGGTGGATAAATAAAATATCCCAAAACAAATCACCTGTAACAAATGCCGCAACGGTCTTATATCAAATCGAATACATAATTAACCAATTTCTTCCTCTCCCTCTAATACATATTTAACTTGATAGTTTCGACCTCGGCCTATCCTCGGACCTTCCATACTAGAGGTTATTTACTAAACATGTCCGTCACACGTGGACATTAGCTCAGCGCCCACTAATGAGAACAACTTTCAACGACTACCCGCAAAAAGTTGGGATTTCTGCCAGACTACCGTTTTGGACAACTAGATAGTTGTAGTGTAGTAATTAGGACGGTAAAACTACGCCGGGGTTTTTTTGGCAGTTTTACCTGGGGTGGTAAATTATAATTTTTGTTTTGGTCTAGTTTTGCTAGCACCCGTTTAGGTGTATTTGTGTGCTGCTACATCAGACAAAAACTGATTTATCATTGCGTTATTTGAATACGTTCATTTTGATTCACATTTGTGTCTGTAATAGTGGAAATCCTCAAGTTGTTTTTGTTTCTCCACTTTTTATATAGTATAGCCCACAAGTTCAGAACCAAAGTATTCAAAACACTTTTAATGAAGTAAACAAACAAAACTGAAAACCATTTTGTGGATTAATTAAGAGCTGGGTGCCACTGATACGCTACAAACTAACCAGTTTTGAAAGTCAAAAGTTAACGAAATGAGGACAAACATATTATAATCCTGTTTAACTCTGCCACTGCCTGACATCTATTGTGCTCCGAGGACAACGGAACTGTAGACATAGTGAAACTAACAGTACACTCAAGTACTGCTGTCTGATGTCGGGTGATTATAACTTTTCTACACTGACGTCATATAGACCATACACCTATTATGAAGTTTATTTGTTCAGAATAGTATGAGGTTTACCTATACCGACTAATTAAACTTGGATGAACCAATGATTTGAATACTAGATTCTCTTGGTGGTGGAAAAATTATTCATTTTGAGAAGGAGTAACCAAACCAACCTGTTATGTAATTTATGTTATAGATAGGCAATAATAATGCTATTTAAATTAGTCTTTATTCTTTCTTTAGTCTTTAAGTCTTTATTTTATTAAGTTTACCTAATACAGGGTTTGTGTTTCTCTTTATCTCTGTAATAGTTTGGATTATTAGTTAGTACCTAAAGTCTAATATGGTGTAAGTAGTCGCTAGATTTTATAATTCCTTGTTATCGCATTGGGTCCTAAACCTGTAATGTTAACTTGTGTGTGTAATAAATAAATAAATAAATAAATAAATAAATGTTCTATCGAAACATGCTTGGAACAAGCACAAAAACTTCTATTTAGAAAAAAAATAACCTGCTTCTGTAAAGCATTTCTTAAATAATACTACCTGTATAACCTCCAAAGTTTAGTACCTGTGTACGTTTCTAATAAACCAATTTGCAGCAACAAAATGAAAATCCAAGTTGATCTAACTAAATCTAAGCTGTACCACATTATGACGTCACTCGACGCTGGGAATGCAGAACTTATTTCAGTGACGTCAGTTAGTGCCTCATTACTATCAACGCTGGCTCTCCGCATATTAATTACGTGAAAGTTCACTACACTTTATACGTTACTAGTTCGCCACGGTGCCTCCATTCAGGTGGCTTTCAGAGTGCTTCACTGGTGAGCTGAGTTTATATTAGGTTAGTTTACGTGAAAAAATATTATAACAGCATATGTGGCTGCGTGTTTGGTCTATGTTAAAATAAGAACTAAGCTTAGCCATTTGTCTAGACAATGTGTTAGAGGATCCCAGCAGCACGTAGACTGTGCCATCCACACACTCACATTAGCCGTGAAACACTTGTGCCACGTTTGTTCCAAAATAACGAGCCACAGTCGACGCTCTCACTCTCATCCAGCTTAGTATTCCACGCGAGCCTTTCATGAAAATTGTTATGAATAAGACTTTTTATTCGCAGGAAAATGTGTACGTATAATGTTGCGTAAGATTCCCTTTTGCCGCAATCTGGGCTACCGCGCTACACAAGTTCTTGTTGAAAGCAGTTGGGCACAATAAAAACTAGATGACAACATGTTTTACTTAGTGACTTGAATACCCTAGTAGGTTCTGCGAAACTTTCACGTTATAATCATATCATACCAATTTTACTTTATTAGACTTCGTCGATGTTTTTGCAAAAGAAGTAAAGGGCAAAAGGCACAAGTCTATTTTGGCGCCCACCGTGGGACTCATTAAAATAGCTAGCAGTTTAGGTAATTGCACGATTTAGCCTGAGAACCTTAAGTCAACCATTACAAGTCAAAGTGGAGAAAGCGACTGCGCGTGCTATTAAATTAAATCGAGTAAATGTAATTCGGCATCAAAATGGCGGCGCTGGGACCATAATGGTGGCGTAATGGCACATGTAATAGTGCTGTAAATAATTTCTGTTACCCTTCACTACAACTAGAGAAGAATATGTTTACACTGATTTTATACGACAGGCACTACTACGTCTGGTCTTGGGAGGCTGAGAATTTCATACAGGGAGCAAAGTTAATTAGTTTATTCATCTTGCAGAGTGGAAGACTGTATCGTTATGATAGAGAAAATATAGTAAAGACTTATAATTCTTTAGTTATTTAATATTTAAATACCTTTGACGATTATTATGGTTAAGTTGTCGAAGGCTGCTTAATAGTATTTCTAATAACAGTTCTCTATGGGTTTATCCACAAATGTCGTTTCTTTGAACGCCCCGTGTAGCTGACAGTTTGTAAACAAAGCGGTTAGCGAACAAGGGATTGCTCTTAACCGCCATCGCCCCACATTTCGGCCCGGACCTCAATCCTACCCACATAACCGGCAACCCGGTGATAACAGTAAAAACTCACCTTCAACGTTTACTGGAAACTTTAGGGGTTTTACCTAGTGACCTTAACTGCAGTGGTATACTAGTGCAACGGTCGCTTGTAAACCAAGTTTAATTAGGTAGGTACACCCCAATCATAGTGTGGTCGCAAGTCCAAATTCTGAGTACTGATTCCTAACTCAGCAATGCTATTTGGATTTTCTATTCTAAAAATGTCCATTTAAAACTATTTGGTATGTTTACTCTCATTTATGCTGTTTACTGTCCCTAAAAGTTTTACTATTGTATCGGAGATGACATCTGTTCTACCAACGTGTCTACCCTTCTCTTCTTTAAGGTAAATACATCGGTTTCCGCAAATAAGGGTAAGATAATGTCCGATGGCAATATTTGGAAAGTATAGCACCTTTTCCTGGTGGTAAGAAGATTCAATGTTTCTTTTCCATTTAGGTGACGATCAGATTGTCTCTAATGGTCTTTTAAAATGTTCCAATAGATGATGTTGTAATGCCAATATTATTAGATGTAGTGTTTTATTTAGTTTTATTGTTCGCCGTAAAATGTGGGGAAGTGTGAAGTGGTCGTTTATTTATTTTTATTGCCGCTACAGTACACAACATGTACGCTTTATGTACTGTCGGTCATTGAACTCCGCTTTATATCTCGGAACCAGTCTTTATGTTCCCTGGGACTTCATGTATTATCGCGTCACTGTTCCCGGTAAACTTATGTAAATAATTCTTTACGCTAGTTTCCCCAAGGAGTGACAGAACTTTAATACGGCATTCGTTAAGATGAGGGAATGTAACTTTATCAAAAAAGCACCATTTTCTCGGGAGACCAATTTTTAATAATGTTCGTTAAAACTGTGAAGACTAGACACTGATTTTATCGTTAATTTATTCAAAGACTGATCGACAAGCTGTCTGTTATAATAGTCTCAGAAACATGACACTCGAAGGCTTTGTGAAAAATTGACTGAAAACAGTGAAATAAAAAAACTGAGTGAAATTAGATAATACATTTAATGTTCTTACATCAAGTACACTGCACAATTGACACATTGACTAAGCGCCCGGCCAGCACAGAACTAGACACTTAGAAACCGTGCACCTTCAACTGTTCTGGTTTGACGAGACCCGTTTTCGCCAACCATTGGCAGATGTTCTGTCTCTGATCTCCCTGGAGCTGCAGCACCTCGCCGTACTCTGGATGCTCCACGATGGTTCCGTTGCAAGCGAACTCCTTCTTGCATGCCTTGACTATTTTCTTCAAGTCATATTCATATGAGAGCCCTTGCACAGTTGTCAGAGTTTTTCGACCATTCCTCTGCTGGATCCGCACGTGCACGAGTCCATCTTGGACCTCGTCCTCCAAGCTCTTGACAACATCCGCAAAAGGGTCAAATGTGTTAATTAAATTCTGGATGGACATGGGCTCAACCGTAATACTCTCGGTGTCACAAAACACTGCGATAGTACGCTTTTTGACGGATAAGCTGTCGCCACCAATTTGTCGCAAACTTCCAAGTTGTAATAGCCGAACAAGGCCGAAAAATGTATATTTATACCAAACAATGTCATTTATTTTCAATTTGCAAATCGTCATAATTACCTAATCACCTAATTATCGTAAGTAAAGTGATCCTGCAAAGCTTAAATATTCATTTTAATGTTTGGGATTACTAAGTGACTATTAAAATATCGTTTCCAAATTACTAAATGTTATTATCTCATTACTGTAATATACTAAAGAAAAACTTTAATATCCATCCTACCAGTATGTCACAAGTTTCAACGTGGTAGTTTCACAAAAATTCTTCTACCATTAAAAATATGTTCCAAAATCAAAAGTAGATTACTCTGCAGGCTCCGGCGAGTGAGTCTCGTGAAATACTTTCGAGGAATATGCAAAGTTTTCCAAAAATGCAGTCGCGAGGCCTGTAGTATATATAGTGTAGCGACACGTCAAGCGCAGGGGCTGCCAAGTTTCCTAACTAGCATGCACCGAAACTTGCCAACTTGCCCAAGTTTTTCCTGTTGCAGGCACTCGCGTCATAACTTTATGACTTCAATGGCCAAGTTGGACTAACTTTAAATTTGTTGCCAGTTAGCTGGATTCCACTGGAATGTGTGGTGTACTGGAGATTTAGCACATTAAACATGTATATTGTTGTTTGGAACTCATGTCGTGTCATAGATTGTTTGTCTAAACGGTTTCTGTGATCCAGTATTTAAAGGACAAATCTTGTGTTCCTCTAAACTTAGATATATCCAACATCTCGTACTGATTAAACACTGTAAGATACTAACTGTAATGTAAGATTCGTTAGCGCATCGGGTGTAATCTAAGATTCATTTTCATGGCTCGTTGCTGTAACAGATAACTATAAAAACCCTCGCGGGAATCAGCTGCTGACTTGTATCGTTTGATAATGTTATAAAAATATATACCAGTGGTATCTAGGTTCATGAAGATACCTTACTTTCTAAATCTAATACTTTTAACCTCAATTTAATTATAGTAATTGAACTAAAATTTTCTCTAAGCATATATCATATTGTACTTTATCGAAATATTTACTCGTGAAGTTTCTAGAACATTAGGGAAAGGTTTGGACTTTACGCACACAACTTAAACAAAACGATCAAAGTGTAAAACTTTGATATACAACAAACTAGTGTGGGCACACATACAGACATACCTACCACTTATATATAGAAAGGTTTGCTTTCAAAGCAACATGTTCATTTGAAATGATAGCTTCCTAGAAATGGTTTAGGAGAGATTCATCCATTCTACAAAATGTACCTCTCAAACCAGTGGTCTCTGGTCAGGGCTCGCACAAAGCGCGCCCATTAACCCTAAACAGTGAATTGTAGCCGAGAGCTGGCGCCATTAAACCACACGCAATACATTAGTGATTTCCACGTGTCCTCTATGTTCGCACACGTCCTGCATCTCGCTAGATGTGTAATAGCTACAAGTACTTTATCTGACAATGCACAGGAACATGTAGAAGGTACAAACAAACGGACGAAAATCGATTTTTGTCCTTATTAATTGATTTTGCTTCACACTTCCTCCGCCTCACCTTTTCGCAAAGAGTTTAGTTTCCTAACTGATGACGTAATCAGCGTCGTACGGAAATTGGAAAACATGGCGTGGGTAGACCAGTCAGCCAGCCCACGCTTCGTCTTCCAATTTTCGCCTTTCGAGAACTTTCTTACACCATATCGGTTATTAAACGAGCATTAATAAATGTTCATTGCCACTTAAACTTGCAGATTTTAACAGCCATGTCGTTAACTCTTTATTACCGACGTCCAAATGACTAATGACCGTGTTCTAGTTTCCAGTGAACCTTCTGTATTTTTTGTTGTGTGTGCTGCGTCCATTCGCCAGATATTAGTGCTTATCTGTGCTGACGGTGGCGGCGGTCGCTCGTGCGGATGCAAATTTGCTCAAATTGCGATGCGAACACTGCACAAAGGAAAATACTAGTCCATTTTGTGATATTTTTAAATGCTAATCTAGAATAGGTACTTGTATTTTTGTGGCAATTTTTACTTTGAAGTGAAGATTTTTATTTAAATCATCTGAAAATGTCCACACTATATATCTACATGTAAATATAGAAATGAATCGTAACTGCTGCCGAATTGGATCATCCTTTTGAGCTTAGTTCATTATAGGCCTTCTAGGATAGTCAATAGTCAACTGTCACAGGCATTCATTATTGTTGATGTTCGTTAGCACACAGTTTATGTGACAGTCGTACAATAGCATCCATGCAAAGCCGGGGCGAGTCGCTAGTTTACAATAATAGTAGATATGTGTAGTAGATAATCAATAACACTCAATCAGATCCCCGCGCACTCGATAACAATGACTGACTGATTCCAGATTACAATTACTTAGTGGTAATTTGTTCCCAATCAATATGGCGGCTCGAAGCCTAAGAGCTATTTCTGTAGTCCTATATATTCTACCAGACAATAGCAGACATCTTGGAATTATATTATCGATTTATTTGCAATAAGTATTCGATGCACAGAGCGTGCATATAAAATTATTCTTGAAGACAAATGCTCATAAACTATGGCGGTTTTATAAAAAGTTTTGCATTTAATATTAGTGGTTCTTAGAATCTTTGATCGTTTCTGAGATGGCCCCGACTTATATATGCTTTATGTGCGCGTCCCAATATTGTATATATATCGTTGGTATGTATCATACCAACGATGTTTTCGTCATGCTACAACTAAAACCCTGTATTAAAATTTAGGCTTCGTGAAACAATTTATCGTTAACCTATTTCGCTGTGTACAGCACAACATGCGTGGCATGGCGTGTAATCAGTGCTCAAACAATTATAGAGTAATTTGTCAAACGTGGCGTGGAACCGAGCGCCGTACAATAGCTAGTGTCACCGCATTGTCTCATGTAATGGCTGCTAAATTCATTTGTGTCGATTTAATTAAAGATGGAGATAGTTCTATAGGTCTTTGACACGTCACCTAGATAATTAAACTAGAAATTAATTATATCACAAAGGTATTAGGCATTTCTTCTTTGTGCTGCCTTCATAAAAATCGTGTCGAAGGAATTTATTATTTTAATAAAAGCCAATTAATTACTCTTTCTCATTACTCCCTGGGAACCTGAGGCTACGCCCAAATGAGTAGCTATAAAAGCAGCTATACCACTTGTACAAACGACACTTCTCTAAAGAAACGCCCTAATTGCCTTGTTCCGAACTCCAGCATCCTATCCGAGCAGATGGTATTCCTAGTTTCCTACAATTAGGCTGAAACTAGACAAAAACAAGCGCCGGATAAAACTATGTACCGTCTGCTTTCTGACTAGTTTTTCTAAGTAAAGGGCTGGAGTTAATGCATTCTCTTTGTAAACAGCGTCACAGTAGAGACAAAGGTGTCATTTTTAGGGTATTTTTTAAAACGAATACCTAAAGCTAAAACCTGACAAGGGTAGGTACCATGGAGCCATGTGTCTAGGCTTCATTGTAGTAAAGTACATACATAACTTCACGCCTGTCTCCCATGGGGGTAGGCAGAGACTAAGGAACGCCAATTACTTTTTTTTTTTTTTTTTTTTTTTAAGGGGGGAAAATCATCGAATGACTGCCCCCGCCTGGGTGAGGCGGGAGGGAGTGTCAGACTCTTACTGACTAAAAACCACCCCGTTCCTTCTCCTGCACGTCGAGCCGGAGTCCCGGTTACCCGTTAGGTTCTCCGCGACTCCGAATCGGCATCGGCCGTATTGGGCCCCATCTGTGGTGGTCTGATGGCTCTTTGAGGCGCGCGCGGAACGCGACGCGCCGTACGCTCGGGTAACGCCAATTACTACGATTCTTACATACCTCTTTCGCTTCATTAATAGTCATTGTAGTAAAGTCTAAAATTGTAATTTCTGCGTCCTTCAATAAGTAAAGGGGTAAGTTTAAGTACCTTTCTATGCTTCCAGTATTATATTAGCTAACATATAGACGTCTGTACATTAGATCACTCCACATTGTTTAATTGGCAAACCCGTACATTGTCATCGCACAGGCAATGATCAATATGTACGTGTCTCAGTATTGTATCCCGTCGGCTCTAATCCGTACACTCGAGGCGCACGAAACTGGAGCACCCTCGATATGAGACCGGAGACGAACCGTGCAAACGTGCAGCCGGGCATCCGGCCACCGTACGGCAGTTTATCAATAGGTTTGCGGTGCAGTGTACACATCTCACCAACACCCGATATCTTTAATGTTTGATCGGACACCGTGCTCCGACAGCCGTCCCCGGCTCTCCGGCCCGGATTATTTATATACCCAGCAAATGTTAATTTTATGAAGTTTGCATTTGAGATGGGTTCAGCGAGACATATTAAACCTACATGTATTTAAATTTAAACCGTTTATTAAACAACCTGTACGTTGTATTGTTTTTGTAACGGCTGTTATTTAATTATGAATTAACTCTCTTCTTTCTCTTTTATAAAATGGTTCGTAATTACATTTTTTGTTGCTGGAATTTTAGTATTTTAAAGCAACCGAAAAATTGGGTTTAATTTGTTTAGTTGTAATAAAATTTGTATGTTTGATTTAGGCATAGTGTACTAAATTAAATTGTGTAGGTAGTACCTAAATGAGACAGTTAAACATACGGTCTCAATAACAGTGACAGTTGAAATGTGAATACTTGAGATATCATAATTAAAATCTACATCTACATTATAGTTTGAGCATCATTTGAAATATCTAGTAATACCATTGTATGTCTTGATTCACATACTAATTGACCTCATGTCTAAAGCGAATAATTATCTAAAGTTGTTTAGTCGACTAAATACGTCTGAAGTTACTATTAGTTTATTGTTATACTTCACAGACGTGTTAATGCTTTTACTTTAAAGTTACCTACATGTTGTAAGGTGTAGGTAGGTAGTATATCGAGAAGAGGTCGCAAGTTAGGTTACCATAAATGCAGATGATGCTGCTGGATTGTTCATCGACAGCCGTATTCACACATTGGTCACAGCGTACCGTATGGCCACAT